CAAAACTGTATTGTAAGAAAGGAAATGTTTTGTGTTTTGGAATTTTGTCTTCTGAAAGTCGGTGGTGTTATACTCTCTTTTTCTTTTTCAAAATGATTGAGGAAGAATTCTCTTTTTTAAAAACCAAAAAAAAAAAAAAAAAAACACCGTTCACTCAACCAAAAAAAAAAATATTCACGTGAGTGACAGTCGTGTGTTAAGCTTCTGCTCATATGAGCGATGAGCAACGGGACGCGATGCATGCATATACTATTTAAAAAAATTAAGTCTCGTTCACTTCACTAATTTGAGTTTAAAATTTGAGTTTTGTTACAGTAAAAAGTTCTCAAAAATAGTCACATCTAACTTTTTACTACAGTAAAAAGTCCTCACATAAAATCATATCTCAACTCAAATTACAAACTCGAATCAGCGAAGTGAACATGCCCTAAAAAATGAAACAAATATTGTTTAGTGTATAGTTACCACTAGAAATGTTTCTTTTAAGTGGTTTCATTAATAATTACGCCTTGCAACAATGGGTTGAATGTCACTATAGTTATGATGTTTGACGTTGTACAAAGATGTGTTGAATGAAGTAATTAGGCCCCGTTCTTTTCGCTAATTCGAGTTTAGAATTTGAGTTTTGTTACAGTAAAAAGCTCTTAGAAACAGTCACATCTAACTTTTTTACTACAGTAAAAAGCTCGCACACAACATCACATCTCAACTCGAATTAAAAACTCGAATTAACAAACCGAACGGGGCCCACATTTTTTTTACGCGTTAAAGTATAGAAAATTTACAAACCAGCCACAACAATTGTATTGATTATATGGCTTGATCCCAAACAATTGTTCCAAAGGATAAAATGTATTTTAATCCCCCGAACTTTAGTCTCTTTGTCAATTTACTTTTTAAACTTTAAAAATTATTTTGTGCACCCTCTGAACTTTGAGGGTGAGCAAACTAATTTTCAAAGGATATTTTAATGAAATATTTACATAAATGTCTTTTAAAGTATGTATCATAAATTAAAATGTCCATGATTTATTAAAATACATCAAAATGTCTCTAATCCATAGAAAACATAATAAAATAACAATATTACTGATGTGGGTGAGTGGACTTATTTTAAAAAATAGCGGGCAAAGTTATAGAGAAACTAAAGTTAGGGGGTAAAAATAAATATTATCTTTGTTTTAAATGTGTATCGTATACCTAAATACTAATGCAAGATAGGTTTCCCGTGGCAGTTTAGCACAATATCGCGTTGTTTTCCTTTGTTTTTATAGTTTTCTAAACTCCCCACACTTTTCTTCTATGTTTTCTTTTCTCGTCCTGGTGTCTAACAATTTTATATTTTTTTGTCGTATTATACATTCATGTGTATCCGTTTTTTCAATCTCAACCTTGTTGTTTTATTGTAGATAATTTTTTTGTTTATTTGTCATAATGAGACGCCATTAAATATGTAAATTCCTTTGAAGTACCAAATATCGTGCATGTACTCTGCATGGTTTGAAGTAGTTTGGTCCACGGAATGTTTCGTAACTGACCAAATTATTTTCTATTTTCGCCGAAAAATTATAGGTTGTCTCCGGCTCCATCATTTAGTCCCTTATCGCTAGCCATAATCTGCATATTATTTTCTATTTTTCACAAAGAAAAATGACAAGTTATTTTTGGCTCCGACTTCAGTCACCGACCTCTTGTCATAATTTACCTGATTCCTCTTTATAATTTACCAGAGTTCCAGATTACCCTTCTGATCCTCTCTTTCATCCTAATGCATAAGAAAATTTGCCAAATTACACAATTCCCCTTAAACCATGTAGGATCTTACTTTGAACAAAAAATTTTAAACTAAGATGATTTAAACTGCAACCTAGGGCTGTAAGAAATCACCCCGAACCCGACGAACCCGGCCGAGCCGAGCCGACCCTACTCAAAAATCACAGGTTTCTAATTTGTTATTTAATTTTCAGTTTTAATTATGCCCAACCCGCACTGTGTGGGTAGGGGCGCGAGGTAGGGTTCCATGAACCCGAGGTACCCATACCTAGCCGAACATATTCAAAAAGTAGGTAAAACAATGCCCAACCCTAATGATAATAAGTTTAAAAATCTTTCAAACAAAACATAAAGAGTTGTGTCTTTAGATAATTCTTGTTTATTCTTAATTCTTGTTCAGGATGAATGTAAAAATTGAGTCTTAGATGAGGTAAGTAACAAAAATAAGTTAAAAAATGGTTTTTTTTTTTTACAAAAAAACTCATAGTTTACCCTAGGTAACCCGGCCGACCCGAGGTTACCCGGCCGACCCGAGATTACTCGAGGTACCCGAATGGTATACAGGTATCCTAATTCTATAAGTTTTTGCGGCCCAAATCGTTCCCAACCCGAGACCTGCAGGCCGGCCCAAATTTTTTTCAAAACTGACCCACCCTGGTCGACTTACATGCCTACTGCAACCCAAACGTAATTTGGATACTAATCATTTAAATGAAGAATAAAGGGCATTCTTTACCATGAGACCCATAAAAAAATCCCAGCGGTGAGACCCATTTTTAACTATTGGATCAATTTTTTAATGGTCAGATCTGTGCAGGTCCATATAAAAAATTTACGGCGCGCTGCACAGAATTACTTCTGCTGCAAATCTAATCGTTGAAAAATTAATCCAACGGTAAAAGACAGTGCTTCACTCTTGGGGTTTTTTTTAAGTGGTTTTACTGTAGAGATTGTCAGAATAAAATATAAATATGTGTTTGAATAGGGTGTTAAAAACAATCATTTGAAAAATAATATAGTGAATATGGATATTATTTTATTCTGTTCGTCGCTACGAATACATAGAAAGAAAAATCGTGTCAATTTGAGATCTATTGATAAAGTTATGACTTTCAAAAAAAAAAAAACTTAAAAATCGTTTCACATCACGTTATACAAACAATACTATACCTTCCAAATATGACAATGTTCAGTGAAAACAACATAGTCAATATGGATCTTGTTTTGTTTAGTTCATTGTTACGAACACGTAGAAAGAAAAATCGTCTCAGTCCGAGATCTAACGGTAGGGTTATGACTTTCTTTAAAAAAAAAAAACTAAAAATCGTTCTACATCACGTTATACAAACAATACTATACCTACTGAATATGACAATGCTCAGTGAAAATAGCATAGTCAATATGGATCTTGTTTTGTTCGATTCGTAGCTACGAACACGTAGAAAGAAAAATCGTCTCAATCTGACTTTTTTTAAAAAAAAAACTTAAAAATCATTATACATCATGTCATACAGACAATATTATATACCTACCGATTATGACAATGCCGAGTGAAAAATAACATGGTCAATATAGATCTTATTTTGTTTAGTTCATTGCATGAACACGTGGAAAGAAAAATCACCTCAATCTGAGATCTAACAATAAAATTATGACTTTTTAAAAAAAAAAATTCTGACCACAAGAAGGAATATTGTCAGGAGTTTTAAATCAAAATAAAATGAAAATTTGTAAATGAATAAAAGTCTGACACTGATTTGAAATTTCTCTTATGCCCATACCTTAATGAGAACCGTTGGATGTGATTCGACGACTGAGCAAGCTTAGACGTTTCAGTTCGGCAAAAAAGTGAGGATGGACGGACGGAAGACATACCCTATAAATATATATGATATTATATCCTTAAAAATAATTTGTTACTGGAAATTTAAAAGATCTCCTCATAAAGATAACAAACCGGTGTTTGTAAAGCATTAAACATTGAAAACTAATCTTATATTTTCTTGAGTTTCATGTGATTGTATGTTGGTCGACTGTGGTTTAATATATAATTCAAATTAAGGGGAATTACGATACGTGAGTTTAAAGTAGAAGTTGAAAATTTGGAATGGAAAAATTCATCGATGGAACCAAATACTAGCTCTTTACTTCCCATGTTTGTTGATTAATAGTTCCCAAAAATATTAATTATTACCTTCCAAGAGAACTTAGGCAACATCTAATGACAAATAGCTTTTGCAGGGACATTTAAGAGGACAAATTAATGTGACAACATATGTGAACTCATGCTACTTACTTTATATTAACTTAAATGAAAGAGTAAGATAGACTAGCTTTTCTCCACACAAAAAAAAAAAAAAAAAAATGATACGCACTTCTAATGCTTCTTTTATATGTATAATACCTTTTCTTTTAAATGTCTAAAATTAAACGTAAAAACTAATAGAAAAATTATGTTTCTCTCTTGATTTTTTTTTTTTTTTTTATACCACAAGTTCTGAGTATTAGGTTCAGTTATGGTCATGATGAACCCTAGAGGGACCGGGTTGGTCATGGTCATGAAATCTGCTTTGCATCCCAATCACGGTCGTGTATTGTCGCTGGTGATTCTTTTCAAATCTCTCTCTTTCTTTTTCTTTCCCTCTTGGCATCATCAAGACAAGGGTTGAAGTTCCACGGAGAGAAGAACGAGTTGTCGTAATCCAAGAAGGACATAAGTCTGGAATAATCAATAATCTCCGTCGTCGGTGGTTCTACTTTTATATCGCGTTTTTGAATCGACGACTCTGATTGTTCTCCTTCTTCTTGTCGTTTTTTGTGCAAGAAGTTCTGGTACCACTCTTCAACTTGATCTATTTCTTGAAACAGAGTCGATACTTCTTCGACGTAATTTCTCCCACGTCCTGGGTCGTTCTCTGACGTACACTCCAAATTCATGATATTTTCCATGCGTAGCCTACTACTTTGAACTAAAGGAAATCTCACCAAACAAAGCTCACATCTGAATCAGTCTATTTATAGGTTTTTTTACTAACTTCGATTAGGATTCAAAGTAACATTATTACTGGATGACTAACTTTGATCAGGATTAGGAGTACTACTGATGAGGACTACTATTTTTTATACTAATTTTTTCTGGTGTTTTCGCGTTCCATTTTTTAATCCACAAAACGTTTGCCACGTGTTGGCTTTTGATTCCCAATTAACCACCACCCGTTTGTGATTCTCTTACCCTAAATCTAAACAGACGAAAACGCACTTTGTTGAGGAAGTCATCATAATCCACGGTAAGTGTTCTCCCTCTGTCGCACACTTGTACGACCTAGATGAGCGCAACTGCGACATTTTCTCGTAGGAATTCACACAATTTTCCTCTCTTCATCGCGGAGGAAATATCGAGTGCTCCTCGGCCACCATACATCCGACATCTCTATCTCTCTCTCTCTCAAATTTCAATTTCCGTTCGCCGTCGGCTTCGATTCGCCGGAATTTCTCCGTTGAGTGACCGGCGTTCGGTGTCGTAGTTAGGTTTCCGTTCACTTTCGAAGGTAAAGAAACCTCAATTTCCCCTCTTTGGTAATACTTTTCTAGGGAGCTTCTACTGAATTTCGCATTAGTAAGCGATTGGGAAAAACTTACATTTTTCTTAAAATTGTTTGATTTTGTAGAGAAAATTTTGATGATTTTTACTAATTTATTCTTGTTTTCCCTTTGTTCGTACATAAAGGAAGAATCTTCGAATTTTGAGGATCAAAAAGCAGAACAAGTCAAGGTGGAAAATGGTATGTGTGACATTCTTCAATTGTTGTGAAAATTATGATATGAGATATGGCTCATGACTAGTATGAAATGTGAAAAACACTTATAATTTGATTTTGCCACGTCGAGGAAAAGAGAAATTTGTGACTCAGTTGGAAGATTATATCTAGATACCGTTTACTCTAAGAATGATTATTGAGAAAATTCCAGAGTTATCTGTATGTGCTACTCTCTCTCCCTATAACAATATTGTGATTGCATCAAAAATACATATGTATCACCAAGAAAATGATTTCAACTAAGGCCACGACCAAGTTTTAGCTGTTTCCATTTGATGGGCTTTGTACTGAGATGATTAATTTTTCATGTAACATTAAATAATGAGATAGCGTGACATGTCTATTCCTTTCATCCTTTTTAGGGTGCTATTTCATTATAGTTTGCGAGTAGTCGGTCCAACCTGCTGGAGTTTAACATGATCACGTGTAGTTTTCTTATTGTTATTAATCGGTTGGTATTTGCCAAGGCCGAGTTTTTGCATTCGCTCACTTTTGAACTTAGAATGAGTGGTTTGTAGGGTGGTGCAGGAATCATAATTAATGAGCCAATGATCTGGGAAACATGCACTTGTTAATTTTAATAGTGTACTGATAGGATTTACTATGAGAACTTAGGCCAGAAAAGAACATTAAACCATGTTACCTAAAACTATCACCAACTTTATGAGATACAACAGATTTTTAGTTGTTAACGCAAGTCTCTTCCCTGTGATGTTTATTTATATTCCCTCTGTATCTGTGCGTTGTTATAGACGATTCTAAATGATTGTTAGCACCAAACTTTCCAGAAGAAGGGATTTTGGATGGAAAAGAGCCCCACGCATGTAGATAATGGAGATGCAACTTTGAGCAACACTGCAAGAATAGGACCGAAGAGGTCTCATCAATGGTTTGTGGATACTTCTGAATCAGAGATGTTCTCCAACAAGAAGCAAGTGCTGCCGTCTGTAAGCACCAAGTTGAGTTCAGGAATGTCATATTCAGGCGGCCCTCGTTGGGAGAACTCTTCCAGCCTTCAGACTGTCCCAAACCAATTCATGGATCGGTTTTTGGGGACTGAATCTGCGTTGTCCGCCAGCTTTGCTGAAAGAAACATATCTTCTCTCGGAAGAGATGATCTAAGTGGAAGAAGAAAGGACACCGACAACCAATTTGTAGAAGGTGTGCCTGTTGGTTTGTCTATGTCTCATGGCATTGTAGATGCGGAACCATGTGTTAGTTATGCAGGAATTAGAAAAGTCAAGGTCAATCAGGTTAAGGACTGTGACAATGGCATCAATGTTCCACGGGAACATGGCTCTAACAACAGTGACTTGACCACTGATCAGGCCTTTAACAGGGAGAATGAAACTAGTTTTGTGTCAGTGGGCCAGACGTATAATAAGGAGCATGACAGTATGATGCCGATGGGTCACACATATAACACTGATGATGCCCATACCAGGCCGTCTGTTCCAAATTTTGGCGGAGGGGATGAAAATACAATTTCAATAGGTGACACTTTTAGTAAAGGAGATACCAATATAATTTCTTTTGGTGGGTTTCCTGACGAACAAGATATTATCCCTGTGGGTAGACCCGTTAGTAACTGTGATCAATTTTATCACCAGAGTTTAGTGACACCAGAAACAGCTTGTGAGAAAGCATTTGATGGATCGAATGCAACTACTGTTTTGCATACTCATCGTGTAGTTAATCCCAAAACTGATTCGGTTACTAAGAATAAATCAGAATGTAAACCATCAAGGAAAGAGGCTCCAAATAGCTTCCCCTCAAACGTGAGGAGCTTGATATCAACTGGTATGCTTGATGGGGTTCCTGTGAAGTATGTTTCCTTGGCACGGCAGGTAAACTCAAACTGCTCTTTTCCATTTCTCCATCTAGAATTCCTGTTTAATGACTTCTGGTTATATACCTACATAGGAGCTTCGTGGAATTATAAAAGGTTCTGGCTATCTTTGTGGGTGTCAAACATGTAATTATTCAAAAGTAAGTAGCCATTGGTTTTCTGTTCTCATAATGTATTATCTTGAAACGTAATAACTGATCACAAGATTTATATTCAAGGTTCTAAATGCTTATGAATTTGAGCGTCATGCCGGTTGCAAGACGAAACATCCCAACAACCATATATACTTTGAGAATGGAAAGACAATCTATCAGACAGTGCAAGAATTAAGAAGCACCCCGGAGAGCTTATTGTTTAATGCAATCCAAACAGTCTTTGGTGCACCAATCAATCAAAAATCTTTTCGCATTTGGAAAGGTAATGAAAATCAGTTTTTGAACCGTTGCCTTCTTTCATCCATGTGTTCCATATGTTTGTTTTAAGTTGTTCCTTTATTTTTGCCAATCAGTAGTAAGAGTTGTACTCATTCCACTTTTTGTTTTTTTTCTTGTTTTACTTCTTTTGTTCTGTCAGAATCATTTCAAGCAGCAACTCGCGAACTTCAGCGAATATATGGAAAAGAATAAATGAACTTGTAGGAGTGTTTTCACTTTCTAGTAAATCAGAATTGTTAATATCTGTTGTAGTCTTCTCTTGTTGAGCATTGTGCAGTATCTACGGCTAGGGATGCAGTGGATGTTTGCTGCACAAAGATGTAAATCTTAAGAGAGAGCATGATTTCTTGTAAAGAGGCTTTCCTGTAGATTTTAACCGTCGAATTCCATACCAATAAATATTATTAGCAAGTCCCATGTTTGATGTTTGGCGTCCCTACCGTCTTTAAAAAACTTCACATACAATTAAATAAATGGTAATTTGCACAAATAGTCCCTAAACTTTTTAAACAGTGACAGTTTGATCAAAAAAACCCCCAACATCTTTAAAATGTGACAGTTTGGTCATTTCCATTCATGTGCACTATACATGATCTCATAATAAAGGGTATTTTAGTAAACTAAATAATTTCTTTTTTAACAAAAATCAAAATAAAAAATCTATAAAAAAAAACTCTAAAGAAGTCATCCCGGTGACATCCCTATCTTTGACGACATCTCTCTCTCTCTCTCTCTCTCTCTCTCTCTCTCTCTCTCTCTCTCAAACTAGATCCATCCATGACCAGCGTCGGCAGTGCCTCTACAATTCCGGCGAGCTTCATTCGTGATTTTGGCCAGCTTCATTCACGATCTCAAACCAAATTTGGCGAGTTCCTTCACGATTTTGGCCTAGAGTGCGATGTCGTTTCCAGCCTGATCTCAGGTCACAGATCTGGAAAAGATAAGTCTGTCATCGCAACGAACAGTTGCTCGTCACCGTCCTCTCTTCCACGGTGGCGCTCGCAAGAACAATTAGAGAAGAGGAGTCCACCGTTGGAAATGATAAATCCGTCACAAACTGCTGGCAATGGTCAGATCTAGCCAAAAGAGACTCCGACCTCGACTTCTGAGAAAGAAGAACTAACAATGATGTTGAGGGTTTCAAAACACAGAGAGAGATAGAGAAGGTGAAAGGTTGAGGGAGACAAAGAGATAACGGGAGAGAGAGAGAGAAGCGGGGTTTTTTTTTTATTATGGGGGCATTTAAGTCATTTTATTGAAAAAAGGGATCACGTGAGTCGTGACATGTTTTGTTAAAAATTTAACAAAATTTGACGAAAATGACCAAACTGTCACCTTTTAAAGAGGTTGAGAGTCGTTTTGTCCAAAAAAATTAAGAACTAAACTATCACTTTTTAAAAAGTTTGGAGACCATTTGTGCAAATTACCCTTAAATAAATAAGCACTATAGAGGTCCAACTTCAACCAATCGTCCGGTTTCAGAAATTACATCGTGATGTGATGAAATATGATTCGACCTCTATTGAGGCATTTGATTCTAGATAATCTCTTCATTATTCAAGTTTACCTTGAATTAACGGAGTTCTTCACTTGGGCATGGCTGATTATTATACCTGAGTGAGGGAAATGTAGAGGGGAGGTTCTAATCTCATGGGATTTAATTTTGTTTTCAAATAAAAAAAAAAAGGAAATAAGCAATTTTTTGAGGATATGAACGAAGTTTAATCACGAAACTTGTGTAATCTACGGATTCTAACAAACTATTTTAAGAGATCATAGACAAACACAATGAGAAAAATGAGAAATAATTGCAACAATAAGAAAACGTTACTTGCCACAAAATATAGCTCCCAAATAATAAGAAACTATCTCACACACTAAAACGGGTTTTAAAAGAATGACAAGTAGATTACAATCATCCATCATATAGTCATGCAGTTAGTTTTCTGTCCTTTTTCTCCTCTCCAAGCACAACTATTCTTTTAATGCACGCACGCCCCTCTTTTAAAATAATTTATTAGTCATTTTAAGAACCACAGCAAGCTGATTTTTGTAGCGCTAAACTAGACCCAGCCCCCTTGTCTGGTTGATTGATCTTGATCGTTGTAGGCTGTGATGACACAAATAATCAAAGGAAAGATTAAACAGCTGAAAACCAAGTCAAAAATTTTAAGTAATATACCTCAGAACCAGAGAAAATAACAAATACCTCAGCTTTGGAGTCAGTATCAGCAAGCCTTTGCTTTATATCTCTTGCTATTGAAAAGAAAACTTGTTCAACATTTAGATTGGTCTTTGCACTCTGCAATACAAGGTATTTAGGTATTTCAGTATAAAACACGGACTCATTGAACTAGTTCCCGAAAGCTTTACAGTTTTACTTACAGTTTCGAAAAACTTGATTCCATACTCATCCGCAAGTGCTTGACCTTTGGAGGTGGGCACAGCCTAGAAATAAGGTGGAATACGATCAAATAACAGTAAAAACACAAATTTTTATTTTTTAGCCTCCTAAAATGAAGATTCGAAACCGTTTAAACACCATGAAAAGGAACCTACCCTTTTGCTTTCATCCATGTCAGCCTTGTTCCCTACCAGTATCTTGTTGACATTATCAGAGGCATGCTGTTCAATGTTGCGAATCCAATTCCTAATATCTGAAATGTGTACAAACAAGGTCAGTGCAATAAAAAACATGGGAAGAAAGAAAGAAATACGTTTATTTATGAGATCAGTCCAACCATCCACCTCAACCAGACAAACAGTAAATTGAAAGCATTCGAGTGATAAACAAACATTCAGCTAAACGATATCCATAGCCCAAGAATAAAGAAGATGGATAAATGACATTGAAGAAAACATAGATACAAGAGCAATGACGATTACTATTGAATGATGATTCGTCAGTTACGTCATAGACCAGCAATATCCCCATGGCTCCTCGATAATAAGCTGGAAAGAAGGAAAAACATAACAATCAGAACAAATTTCCAACCGAACCATACTAGAAAATACAGCAACATAAAATAGTGAAGAAAATGAAGGGGCAAATCATTAGATCAAAAGAATAGCTCATTAACTCAAAGAGCTCCAGCGAAGTCCAAAGGGATAATTCCAATAATTATATCTATTTTACATAAAAGGTAACGTTGTCTTTCAGTCCTAGAATTAGGGATATATACATATGCCATGATGCAATCTGCACATTCTTCCTCCAGGAAATACGTTACCCAAAATGCCTCTCAAATAAAGGATTACATGCTATCCAACCACCTACCATGTCAACTTGTCAATTGGATGCAACATAAGTAGCCACTTCCTCAGTTATAAGCTACTTGCTAGAAAAAATTCAGCACTAACAGGTTTCTCACCCTAATCGGCTTATACAAAGCCTTGCATGCTCCTTCTGCGAGCTTTAGAGCATTTACGGTTTCATTACTCCTGTCTCCTAGGACATCATATACCAAGTTCATTTTAGTGCAATCATCTAACATGCTCATTAAATTATCAACCTAGATCAATAGGCTCTGCTGCTCATAGTAACTAGGCTAAAAAGGGCTCTGCATACCTGTCCTTTTCGTTTATCTTTGTGAAACTTGGCCATTTGGGTTGACTTTGTGACCATGCAAATAGTCTATAACCGTTTATGTGGCCCTTTTAAGGTCAATAACTTCTCTCGTTCTAGGTTCCTACCTTCCTAGTGCCATTTTTGTTAACACTGCACATGTAACCACAATTGAACCATCCAGTTCTCACAAACTTTGCATCCCATCCCATGATTCGATGGTCACTTTTCTACCACCATTTATAATGGTCAACCACTTTCTACACTAACACCTTCCCTCTCATTTTGGATGTTTGAAATAAAAGAGATGTCATGACTCAATATCTCCCAGATGAGTGGTTTAGATATCAATGACCAACAACAATAATCCATTCTTGTATGTTATATATCCAAAGAATATCCATACTTCTTTTATGAAGTCAAAATTAAAATTTACCCAAAACGATAAGAAAATTTACCGGTTGTAATAGTACGAAACCGTTCTTGACCAGCTGTATCCCAAATTTGGAGCTTAATCCGTTTGCTATCAAGCTCAATGGTCCTTATCTTAAAATCAATCCTACATAAGGAAGAATGATGTCATGGGTCTATCCTAATTTTTCGGGAAGGAAAAGAATGATCTTGTAACTCAAAACTTTGGAGATGTATACCCAATGGTTGTGATGAAACTGGTGGTGAAGGAACCATCAGAGAAACGCAAAAGAAGGCAACTCTTACCAACACCTGCAAGATAAACACATAATTAACAAGACGGGTATATCCGGTCCTAAACCACACTAAAGTGAGATAAACACATAATTAATAAGACAGGTATACCTGGTCCTAAACTACACTAAGTGTTTAAACTAGTTTGTATTGAAGGCAAAATAAATTTTGCAACATAGAAAGCAGGGTAGGAATGAGAGGAAGTTAACCTTCGTTCCCATAATCTTAGATGGAAAGTTCCTCCACCTCTAGAGGATTTTGTGTTTGTTGAACAGTTACGTAACTAGATATGAATTTATGCGTGCCAAATAAGTCATATTATACTCTATCACATAATCAAACTTGAATCACATGTACAAAAGTCAAAGGGAAACCCCAAGAAAGACAGAAAACTCAATTAAATACTTGTTCAGGAAAAATATTACTTGTCCTAGAAGATGTGTGTGTACTACCCAAAATAAGTACCTAAAAACACAAAAATATAGATAAACAATTCCAAAATGTCACAATTCCTCTGACCTCACTTCCAGAAAGTGTCAAAGAAGTATAACAACAGATCAAGTCTAAGAATATCGAACAAAGTAATACATGTAGTCGTCTATAATACTAGAGAACAAGCTATTATACCCCGTCACAGTCAAGTATCGACACATACAAAAAGCTGATTTCATGAGGATATGAATTAAGTTTTAAAATAGAATGGTGATCGCAGATACAAACCGTTTCTCTTAAAATAAAAATAAAATAAAATAAAATAAAATAAAGGCGTAGAATTTTGTTAAGCAAATATTCGAGGCCTAATTTGATAAGTCTAAAATAAGCACACAACTCGAATTTAATCATCAAGAAGTTAAACTTCAACATAGATGCATCAAAACTAAGGGGCGCACCGGCACAGAAGAACAAACCAAATCAGTAAACAGCCTAAAAACATCAAACAGCTATTTCAACCAGTTATGCAGATCTGCGCTAAATGTTCAACATCCTTTGATAGCTTAAGTCATGTATTAGGCTAAAGCAATTATGTGTGTGTGTGTGTGTGTGTGTTTGTACCTTATTTTCTTATTAAAATGCTAAAATGGACAAATCTCAACCGAAAAAAGAAACAGCAAAAACTCATTCCTCTCAGCGATCTCAAAACCGAAATGCTGCTATTCAAGCTAATATTACATCTATACAAAGGCGTGCATGTATGAGTTCTATAATTCGTTGAGAAATGCGATTTAAACCAAATCACGCTCCGCTTGTTTCCCGGGAAAATGAGGGAAACCAAAGACAAAAGAAAAGTAATAAAAAGGACATGGTCGGGAACAGTTACCGCTGTCGCCGATCAGTAGAAGCTTGATAAGATAATCGTAATCGGCTCTAGCCCTCGCTGGTGGAGCAGCCATTACTCAGTCTGATTTTCTCAACAAATTTCCCCAAATACAAATCGTATATATATTTTTTCGCTGCAAATAACCAAACATCTGTACATCAAAACCAAATGCACAAGAATAACAAACAAAACACCATTACAAAAAGAAACAAATACCAGATCGGGCAATAAGAGAGAGAAACAAAGGGTTTTAGAGAGAGAACGAGGAAATATCCTACAAATTAGAAGCTGAAGTCTGGAGATTTACAGAGGTCAGAGAAAAAGAACAATAAAAGAAGAAGAAGAAGAACCTTGAGCGGTTATCCGACTATCGTGCGCCGGTGGCGTACTGCGCAGAGCCCCAATCTCCCTTCCGATTTCGGCCTTTTTCAACCAAAAGCGTGCGCCGATCGCTGCCCCGCGCACGCTAGCAACTCCACCACAACGAGAGAGAGAGAGAGAGAGAGAGAGAGAGAGAGAGAGAGAGAGAGAGAGAGAGAGAGAGAAGGGAACACCGAGATTAGGCGAGATCAAGTGCTTTTAAGAATCAAAATCTGGGCAAACGTATTCCGACACGTGGCGAGTAATTTTCATTTCGCGCATTTTTATTGGGGACAGTGTGAGAGTACAATGGACAGGGGTGTAGCGGATCATAACTCTGGGCCCCTGAGCTGGCATCCGAATCATCACGAAAGAGGTCTCTCTGTCAAAGAGGCTCGTCAAGGTACAACTGTCATCTGGGTATTGAGGTGGGCATCTCAAATGAAAAGAAAAATTATGCTGCTTTCCATAACACATGATTGGTTGCCCAATTAATCCAATATTGATAAAATAACAATATCATAAAATAAAATAAAAAAGAAATATACATACGTCTGTAATATGTCTGAGCTTGATGATCACTTTAACTAACGATTTGTTAATGTTGGTGGACCCTACAATGCATCGATTGTCTTTTGTGGCTTGTGGGATAGAGGATGGCGAGAGAGACGACTATTATAAAGTGACAGAGTATTGAATGAATGAATAAATTGTCACGGACTAACGTATGTGAGAAATCTGCCAAATCGTAAATGTACGTAAAACGTCTTTATTTTATTGTCTTCTTATAAACAAAATATCGATTCCAAACAATTGTTACATATTGACTTATTAGACGTTTAATAAGAAAATTCATACTATAATTTAAATCATAATTTTTAATTTTTTTTAATATTTTTTTTATAAAAAATACACATAAATCTCATGATTTTAATCTATAAATCAAACATCTCCGATTTGCCACCATTTTGATGCGTATTGTCGGGGTAAAGATTGCCAAACCAAGGACGTTGTCTCGTGTCTGAATCTGGGGTTAACCAATCAATTGAGAGTTAGAAGACCTGTTCTTTTATTATTACTATTATTATTATTATTATTATTATTTTAAACTTCTTCCCTGAGGAAACTCTCATGAATAATGGATTTATGACCCGTTTAGTTCGTTGATTCGAGTTTTTAATTTGAGTTTAGATATAATTTTATGTGAGAGTTTTTACTGTAATAAAAAAGTTATATGTGATTATATCTGAGAACTTTTTATTGTAATAAAACTTAAATTCTAAACTCGAATCGATGAAATAAACGATGCACTGGTTTAAAATTTCAGTTCTAAGTTTACTCTGAAAATGCAAATTTTATTTAACTCTCAAAAAACAACCGTTTAGAAGAGGAGGGTTCTTCTAAATTGTTCTCTTTTAGTCTAAGTTGTAATTTATGGTCATCTAAATTTTCTTTTTAGTCTCTAATTATTTGGGTAAAATCACTTTTAAAAGATTCTTATGATTGATTAATCCGTGGATTTGTGTTTTTTTTTTTGCTTCCTTGTGTTTTATCAAACAAAAATTCTGGTCATCCAAGGATCCAATTCAAGTCAATTTCCACTTGGAGAGCCGTTTGGAAAGGTTCTCATTCATTTCACCGATTCAAATTTTGTTATAATAAAAAATTTAAAAAAATAATCGCATCTAACTTTTTTATTATAGTAAAAAAAATTTACATAAAATTATATCTTAATTTAAATTAAAAATTTAAATCAGTCAATTATCAATTTGCTGTACTTTTCTACCCTTTTATCTTTTCCTCGCGGCTATTTTGATAGCTCACTCAACAAGTGACTATAGACACAGCTAGTAATACCTTAAAGCAACATCTCCACCTAACTCACGCAATCTTTTGCAGCAACAAAGCTTGAGAAATACCTAAACTAAAAAGTCTGTTATTGACCTTTTCAAAAAAAAAAAAAAAAAAAAAGAAGTCTCTAATTGACATGATCAAAGTTTTAAGCGAAGAATATATGAGGACAATTGGTCAATCATCAATGGCCATTGCATATTGCTCTGTTAACAATCTGATTGTGCAAGGCCAAACATAATCGCTTTACCACCACAGTACACAGCTTTACTCTTTAGGAAAGTGCTTCCCATGGAAGATGCACAAAAATGTCTATTCACACGTTTTGCCTCAAAAAATAGAATCTAAATACAATTCACATACGTTTGAAATTGGCCCATCTTCTTCTTTTTTTTTTTTTGGTAATTGGCCAAACTTATTTAGTCTCTATTCTTTTAATTTTAGTAAAATAATCCCCAACGTAATTAAATTAGAGCCCCGTTCAGTTCGTTAATTTAAATTTTTAATTCGAGATGAGGTGTGATGTTATGTGAGAATTTTTTACTGTAGAAAAAAAGTTAGATGTGACTGTTTCTGAGAGCTTTTTACTGTAGTAAAATTTAAATTCTAAACTCGAATCAACGAAATGAACGGGACCTAAGTCATTTTCATTCATATTTTTTATATTACTTACGTTAAAATTCATGTGACTCTTCACGTGATGCAATTATAAAAGTTATTTTCATAAAATCATGAGTTTATTTAATTTGGGTTGATATTCTATTCTAATTTGTTTTCTAAGGTTTTTTTTTTTTTTTTTTTGCTTCTTTTTCTTTTTTCAGGTCATTTTTAGAGTCTTCTCTTTCTCTTCTTTCTTTCTATTCTTAATTTTTCTTGCCCCCTTTGTTCTTCTCTCTTTGTGCAACTCTTCTTCATATGAGAATTTCACTTTCATTTTTATTTTTGATGAGCTTTTAAAATCTCGTTTATTTTTTTAATTTAAGTTAACTGAAAACTCAACAAAACTAACGAATACAATCAAACAGAGAGATAAAAACGAAATCAGAGAGACCCAACACCAGAAAAAGCACCCCCAAAAAAAAAAAAAAAAAAAAGAGAGAGAAAAACGAAATCATCTTGGTCGCAATCTTCTAGAAGGATCATTCTCGCTCTGAGTGAATCTCTCTCTCGCCATGGCTTCGACGATCCAAAAACTCCTTAGAAAGTCGCCGCCAACAAGGCTTTTCTCTGCTCTTCACCGCCAATCGGAGTCGAATCTCTCTGTACCCTTCATTTTCCAACAACCCCATCACAACGAAATCAAATCAGATCCTCATTTGGGTCATATCCCAAATCCAAAACCTTTTCTGGGCCTTATTGATGCTCTCCCTCCGCTCTCTCTCTCTCCTCTCTCTCTCTCTCTCTCGTCTTCGTCCTCTCCGGTAACAGTAGGCCGGCGCCGATGAGATTCCCCTCCCTCTCTCTCCCTCTTCTCTCACTTTCTCTCTCTAGGCGGTTAACAAAAATTTTTCCGCCTTCCTTTCCTTAAGTTCCAAACAGAGCAACCCCTGCCGATTTCTTTCGATCAACGCTGGTCTTCTCTGTCATGCCATTAATATTTCTGAGTACGAATATTTTTGTTATCCATTTTCTCATGATATTTGCTCGAGCATTTTGAGAATGTTTTTGGGGAGTTTTGTTAGTGTTTTGTTAGTGGACGTTTCATTTATAAATTTATAATAATGATTTAAAATTATTTTTAATTTATGTATTTTTTTTTAAAAAAAATATTGCAGTGAATTACGATTATGATCTGAATTATCACGTGAATCCGTTAATCAAACGCAATTTCGGTGATTCAAACCAGATTATTTTGCTCCCAAGCTTTGAACTGAAACTGAGTTTTTTTTTAGAATCTGAAAATAAAAATCTGTGTCCTTGGTTTGAATTTTTGGTCTATTTTTATGCCGGTGTTTAAGGTACGAGGAACAACTAGATATTTTTTTTTTTTGAAAAAAATAATTATTTGTTTTGCTCAAATCAATATTAGTTTTAAAAAAAAAAAAAAAAACAGAGAACTCAAGATAATATGGTCTTTTCAGCATAATTATACGTCACATGAGGGGATACGTGTTAATTTCTATTAAAAATTTGATAGAGATGGCCGGAATGAATTTAATTGTACTAATTTAATGATGTTGGGGACTATTTTGTTAAAATTAAACTATTATCTATTAAAAAGGTTAGATACTATATGTGTTTTTTTTTTTTTGCTTTCTTGTGTCATAGTGAATTTGTAAGTTATGGTAGTGACATCCTAATTAGTATCCATGAGCCAAACAGAATTCATAAAGATTGTGGCAAGTCATTGCATTGACATCTTCATTACAAATGTGTTAAATCTTCATAATAGTTATTTGCTGGCATATTGAGAATCTAGGTAGAGTGCACATAATTCTCTTTTATGATTGGACTGTTAAAGTGGGCCTTTGAGAATATTCCTCATTCAGTCACAATACAATCTTTCATTTTCACCAATAAACAAGTTATAAAGGTTACTTCTTGTTCAAAGAAAAAGATTGATCAAGATGTTAGAACAAAAGTAGAATTATATAACAGACTCACAGCCTCAGTTTTGTAGTCCAATTAAGTAGAATTTCCTGATTAAGAAATTTCAGGCTAGCTGGTATGTCTTTGTCCATTGTACAGCTCTCTTTACCTGTAAAGGGAAAATCCCATGAAAGAAATAACTACTTTCGTCTAAGAGTGGCAAATTATTGCCAGTTTTAGTTTGGAGTTGGAGTGCCAAAGTGCATCTATGTATATATAAAGAAAAATGATTGAAGGATACAGAAAGACAAACCAACTTTGCTTTGTTTTTGTTTTTGGATGGCCAACCAATGTGGGTCTCTGCAGCCTCGTTGTAAAAAACATTATTGGTTTTTATTAAAAAAAAAAAAAAAAAAAGAGAGAGATGCGTCGATTGACTAGTTGCAGTTGGTCAGTTGCCTTCTCTACAAATAAAAAACATATCTATCTTCTTCTACTTCTTCCTTCTTTTTTCTTTTTTTTTTTTGGAAAAATCATGTTTACTTAGTAGGTATAATTTAGAAGGCATCAAAAATCCTGCTTGTGTTTTTATTTTTAACGAAAAAACTATGCCAATTTGTCAGCACAAGTACACATGAGAATGCAATGTCCTATTTGGGTTTCTGTCTCTATTTTTTGCCATTTCTATCTTTATACACGTCTATATTGAATTCCTCCACCTTCTAAGTGGGTGAAAGTCAACACCGATAGTTCGGCTAAAAGAGCTCCTTGACTGATTGTTTTTAGAGGTATTTTCAAGAATATTAGGAGGTTTGTTTGCTGTTGTTTTAGTGTCTTCTTTGGGAATTGTTTGCCTTTGAAGTTAAATTATGGGTTGTGATCAACGTGATTTCTATTGCCTATGAGAATGGTTGGCATGAGTTGTAGCTTGAGAGTGATTCCTCCTTCATTATTTGTCTTTTGAGTTATAAGTCTTTGCAGGTGAGCAGGACTATTTCCTTGTCTATGAAAATAGATTTTCAATTTTCTCATTTGTATCGTGAAACTAATAAATATGTCAATAAACTTGCTAATCTCAGAATTATTAATTGAAATAAGATGTGGTAATCTCATTGTCTTAATTATTGATAGTACTATGTGTATAGGAATTATATACGTCTATCGTTTTGCAGATATACTTGATTTTGAAGTGTTTGTAACTTTGATATTTTTTGTTCTTTAATAAGATGAGTCTTTTTTAGGCGTTATTCATATATATAAAAAATAAAAATAAAATAAAAAACTCTTTATACACGTCTTCCACACAGTAGTACACACAAAGCTAACTGTTTGTTGTCATGTTTTGTACTTCTTTACCTATTACTTCACAAAGAAATTAGATTAAAGTGAGGCCTTTTTTTATTTTATATATCTTTTGATGAGCTGTTCACATATATAACCCAAACAATTTCTTAAAAAAAAGTTATTTCTTTGTGTTGATAAGCAATGCTATAGACATAAAACCTTACATTTATGTGTTATGAGAGCTTATAAAGTTGACACGTTACATGTTGAATACTATGTTATCCAAATGGTACAACGGGGAATTTTAGTTCCTATACATTGTAAACTCTGCTTTAAAACCAGAGCTTAGCTAGCTAAATACGTGTTACAGAAAGACAAAATAGTCCAAGAAAGACTGATGAAAATTGGCAGAAGTTCACATTGTGAGAAACACAAAACCTTTCTTTTGTTTTTTGTTTGTTTTTTTTTTTTTTTTTTTTTTTTTTTGGTTTAATTATGTGGCCACACATCATTTCCACTGTGTGAAAACCAAAAACCTTTTTTTTTTTTTTTTTTTTTTTTTTTTTTTTTTTTTTTTTTTTGGTTTAATTATGTGGCCACACATCCCATGTTCCCATAACAAAAAAATAACCAGCTAAAGTGGAAAAAAAAGGGGCCAGCAAAAATAATGCTCCGAGTATATGCTTTGGAAGATACTCTTCCACAAACTAGAAACCAAATAATATATTCCCATTTAAATCCCAAAAACCTTTCCTAGCTCCTTCTCTCTGAAACTTCATCCTTGGCCTCCATATTATAGGGTGTTTTTTAACTGCTCCTTTTGTTCCACACCAAATTTTTTATAATGGAAATTTCGGGCGTAGCTAGCAGCGAGATCAACGGTGACGATGGGGACGGCGATGAAAAGCATGCGAGTCGTGGACGTTAAAAAACTTTCAGGCATGTTTCATTGTTTTGGGCAACTGAAGACCCTTTGGCAGAGATACGCGACTAAGCTTGATACAGCAACAATCAAGCTGTTTTTATAGGAACGAACAAGAAAAGTTATTATTACTTCTTTAATCCTTCTTTGTGGTGTAGCTTGGACAAAACATTATTACTGTGAACCTTCTCATCTTCTTGACCTGTTGTGCTTTTTCTGGAAATGTTTTTGTTGAGTAATAATGTGCTGCTATATATATTGTTTGATAAGTCTGAGAAGTTTTCTTGGTTTTGTCATACTAAGAAATCAGATCAAGCTCGCCTGTGCATCTCTTGCTATGTGAAATTTTAGTCTAGATAATTAATAAAACTTATAATAAAAATAATAAAAATAATAAAAAAAGCACGATAATTGAATAAAACTTATCTGTGTAGTTTTGTTCTCTTCCTCATTGGCTTTGTGCCTTTAATGATATTCACACCTTTTAGCCAAAAAGAAAGAAGGCCCTAGGTTCGTGCAGGGGCATCAATCAATTCTCGACTTACATTTAGCTGATTGAACCAAAGGAAGATGAGTATACGAAAACATATTTATAATGAATATGCATGCTTATGTTTGGGAAAAGATATGAATTTACTATGCATATATTTAGTTAATATTTCTCTCCGAGGAAAGGAAGGAAGTACACATGAATGATAAAACTGACCAAAATGTTTTCTTTTTGCTCGAGGGATGCATAAGAATAGTGAAATATCATTATTTATCGGAGAGACAATCATAATGTAAAAAATAATAATAACAATAATGATAATGATAATAGTCGAATTGTGCCTACAAATCGAAACGACTGAAGTAATGGAAAAGCTGTTCAACCCCGGCTTAGGATGAACAAGGGTGTTCTTCTGTAATGTCCAGCTGATCAAGTTGGGTGAATCAATCGATGACATTCACACCGTCAAAGTAGAACTGGAAAAAGCATTGGACACTGCGTTCTCCAACCGATGCAGCCAAAAAAAAAAAAAAAGCGCAAGATATTGCAAAGGCACGGAATCACTTTGTGAGGATTTATTCAAAATAACTTTAATCAGGATATTAAATGTGACTTTATGTGAAAATTTTTTACTGTAATAAAAAAATTAAATGTTATTATTTCTGAAAATTTTTTACTATAACAAAACTCGAATCGGTAAAATAAACGGGACTTAAAAGTCTAATAAAAATGGCATAACTGGGAGCATCTCCAGGACCCTATTGACATGAAACCACTCTTGTAGAAGCACAGGATTAGCACTATGGTGCTGATGGTAGCAGAAACTTTTGGTCATCTCAATAATTATGGCTAAAACACGACACTTTCTTTTATCTTTTTTGAAACTTGCTTCGAACACCAATAAGTAATATTCTTGCATCACTCCATTTTATCGAATTATCAACCCCAGTCGAATGCATTCGAGTGCTTCGGTCGAAGCCTTTTGAAAGAACCGTGTTTCCCGACTACCATACCAAGATATGATTAATTAATATAAAAACTAACAGGAAATGGGACGATTAATAGAGCATAATTTTAAAACAGCCGTGTGTGCAGCAAAACATCGTTGATGGATGTAATCATCTTTCAAGTCTCAATGAACATTCAACAATGTATGCATATGAAAGATCATAACAAAACAACAATTATGGAAAAAGCCAAGATTCCAATACCATGCAGTTACTACTAAACAAAAATTTACTCAAACAAAATTTAAGATATCCGACGTCCAATGCAAAAACATTCAAGTTTAAATGAAGTATAAAATAAGAATGGCACTAAGTCCACGAAGCACGAAAACATTCATTCCTTAGAAAGCAAAAAGTTCCTAACGGATCCTTAAAACTCCAATCAGTAAAAGAAGCCAAGCACTTTGCCACCAACGTTCTTCCTCCTAGCTTCTTCATGATCCATGATGCCAGCTGATGTTGTCAGAACGATGTAGCCAAACTGCAAAATTTCCAATCATCAGTGCAATATACAGTTTAAGAACTTTTAGCAACCAATGACAGTTCACAAACACAAACGAATATAGACTCGTACATGGGTTGGTTTAAAGCGGGTTTAGGGGTTTTTAGGCCAACACGCAGAAAAAAGGTGGATGGATGAGGGCAAGTGATTTGTTTTCACAAGTATTTCTAATATTTCTTTAAATACCTAGGGAAATACATATATATAAAAAAAAATCAAAATCAATTAATGAAGCCAAGGTTGAGTGGCACAGGTTGAGTATCAACATCCATAACCATGCAGCAGCCCGCTCTTCACAGGTTATCGCATTCAAGGCGTAACTTTCATTATAAATGCCTAGCCAATACTAGTATTTTAGAAGCATTAAAAGATATTTCATTTTTCAATCACATTACTTCCAAATAACTTGATATTATCTACTTTTACTCTAGATCTGAATTACCAAAATCGAGCTCTCCAAACTCCTAGAGCAGTAAAGTTTCACGTTACACCCAATACTTATTAACCGTGTAGACTCTATAAGTATATGTCCACACACAGATCTTTCCCAAACACGGAAAGAGTTGCAGAATGCAGACTACAATATACTGTCACCAGCTGCAACACCAACAATAGAACACGACTACACCTTTCTGTACCATCAAACTCTTTCTCAATTCAATTCTAAGTTTCTAACTAGACACTACCATTACAAAACCCACACAAACAGCACATTTCCCCACAATTCTATCTCAGAATGTGATTATTGCTATCCCACATAAACCAATTAAAAAGAAAACGATCAACAAATATACACTGGCTCACCTGTCGTGATGGAAGCAGCCTTGCAGTCCATCCCTCAATTTCTTTCACTCCAATATCAAACCGAGGACTGATAACACCACATTTGTTCAATCTTCCATTGAGTTCAACCACAATTTTGCCAGATCTGTGGTCATCCACATACTCAAACTCACCAATGTAACCTACAAAACAATTAGCGAAACTGATTATAAAGAAATAAACATATTATTGGTCCTCTTAGCTTTCATTTGATATACACTGTGAAGAAAACACAAGCTGAGAACTGAAAGTTACAACTTACCATGCTTCTGCATGACCAACAAAAACTTGATGATCACTTTCGAGGAAGGCCTGATCATGACCTGTCGCTTCCCCCTCTTCTCCGCATTGTACATGCTCTTAAGAGCATCATTCAGCACACTAATTCTCACCATCTTTTCAAATGCAGGCTGCCACAAAAGACAAATAAAAAAACCAAATAAGTAAAGAATGAAAAAAAAAAAGGAACACACTATTTTCAGGAAGAAAAAAGCAAAACAAAATATAAGTCCTTCTAAAACAATAAAAATATTCACAAATATGATAACTATAAATTAACAAGCATTCTCCAAACGGCAAAACTCAGATGTAAAGTAATTTTTTTTCCAATTAACCAACCAACTATAGTTCATTTCTCTATCAAATACATCTAAAAAAAGTGACATAGACCATTACTCAGCTTTAAATCGTTGTAGTTGCGACACACAAAAGGAACAATGGATGAATTTAAAAAAAAATAAAACAAAAACAGAGCTTGGGGTTCAGTATTTACTCTAATCAAATATCTGGATTAACCACATCAGTTCAACGCAAAAAGCTTAACAAGAAACAAATCAAAAGATAAACCACATCACACCCGAATAATTTATAATTTTGGCTCAAGCAAGCAAAAGAGAAGAAAAAAAAAGGTCTTCCGAAATCCGACGCAGAAGAGTTTATAATTAGAAGTATAAACGAACAAAAACAGACATCCATAAACAAGAAAATCCAAACTGCGAAACGGCGACAAAAGATACGTAATCGATCAAAGCTAAGTTAAACGCAGAGAGATCCAATGTTGGGCGTTTCGGAGGCGAGAGATCGCACCTGAAGGACGAAACGTCGGCGGCGCCAAGTCGGGCTGGTTTGAGAGAGACGGCCGAGAGAACAAACAGCGCACTAGGGTTGTAGTCTTTGAAGGGGTTTTTAACTTCTGTGGTTTTAGTACTACGATAGTTCTTTTACAAAAATACCCTTTGTTGCTAGTTGGAATTACAGCTTCTCAGGGACTAGGGCTCGGCCCATTGTCAACATACTGGGCTTGAAAAAACTGGGCCTTTCACTTGAAAGCGGGCCTTCCTGGCTATAGTTCACGGCTTCACGCTTTACGCGCGGACGTAAGATGTCTCGCCCACTGCATCACCGTCGCCGGAGATGGCTAAGCGATTGAGCTCGCAGCTCTTTGTCAGCAGTACTCTTCTCTTCTCTTTCGATTTGTTTCTTACCTGTTTGTAATTTCTTTTCCAAATCCCTAATTTTGATATTTTGTTTTGGGCTTAGGATTATCATCGTACACAACAAATGAGCATCTGAAGAAGCTGTTTTCTCCCTTTGGAGAAGTCCTAGAAGGTATTTCCTTTTTCTTTTCTCGTTCTGAAATTCAATATTTTAATTTTCTTTTAGTTAATTTTGGGAACTAAGTCACTGATGTATTCTTCTTTTCCGTGATTTGTCTGCTTTGTGTTCGTAGCTAGGTTAGTTTTGGACTCTAAAACTCAAAGACCCAAAGGTTTCGGCTTTGTCACGTACGAGTCGGAGGTTGAAGCTCAAAAGGCTTTGAAGGCCATGAATGGCAGGGTAATTTGAAAAAATTTCTATTTCTTTCATTTTTGAAAAAAAAAAAAAAAAAAAAAAAAAAAGAAGTCATTTTCCAATTATTTGCCTTTGATTTTCAATTTGCCAATTGTGGTCGATTACTTTTGTTAGTCCTTGTTTTATTGTTTGTTTCCAAGAAAATATTTTGTTCTTAGTTAAATCGTATGAATTTTCCTCGTTTGTTGTTAGCACAGATAGTTGATGGGAGGCTAATTTTTGTTGAAGTTGCCAAGACTAGTAAGCCTGGAGAAGAAGCTACCTCTTGATGACGAAGGTGCTCTTGTCATTTTGTTGTCAAATGATCTCTCGTTTATACTGTACTCTTCATTGTGGAGCTTGAATCATTTAAATTGCCTTTTTCATGTAACGTTTTGATCAACATTGTTTTTAGAATTCTCAAGGAATTACTTGTTGAACTTTGAATCGATCTCTAATTTTCCAAAAAGCAACCTTTACTGCCTTTATCATTTTGAGCTTGTAAGAATTCTAGACTTCATTCCTTTTTTTTATTTTTTTTCCCTAAATCTATAGTGGCCTGAAAGGCTGAAACAAAAGGCTTTCTTGCTTCACAAAGTTACACCAACCAGGTGATGAAATTTTCCATTTAGGTTGTTAATCTTAAGGCTGCCTCGGAGATGAGTAAAAGTAGGGGATTACAACAGATTTGATGAGCTATACTTGAGTAACTATGAAAATTAATATTCCATCTTAATCCAGGATATTGAGTTAATAGCTGAAACAAATTGGACTCTACACTGTCCTTCGGTTGATAATGCGCAGACGGCAAAATATTTTGAGGTTACCTGTAAATTTTTTTTTTTTTTTTTTTTTTTGAGTATAACATTACTAGCTGAGAAGGATCAAGACAAAAAGTGAATTTGTAGTGGTTGGCACCCTTCTAAAGAAAGCAAGTTTCAACTACTCTCTGATAATGGACAAAGACTTGATAGCCATCGGAAAGTGCAATGAATGGGAGAGACTAGAAATTTTTACTTTCCTCCAAAAACGTTTCTCTTTTACCCTAGAAAGTTACCACTTACCTCGTCGACACCCTACTCAGATCTTAAGGACCTCTTATAACAGATTGTGCCGTTTTTATAATATATGGTCGTTTAACGCTTTGTTGAATTTAAAAGTTCATGTTTCTTTCACCCGATACCATCGATGTATAGAGAAAAAAATTACTAAACTTATAAGAATAAGTGTACACGGATCTAAATTTTTACTCAGATCTAAATTTTTACTCAAGTCTTAAATTTTTACGCGGATCTAAATTTTTACTCAAGTCTAAATTTTTATCTTTATTCTTAATTAATAGCTTTTTAAATAATATAGTATTTGATTAAAAGATATTAATCAAAATTAAAGGTAAAAAGATAAACTCATGCAATCTAATAGATATTTACCCTTTTTTCTCTATGTATATAGAAATATTCTCGTTTCCATTTCCATGTTTCGCTTGAGAAACTATTATTTAATTCATTATCTAATATTTCAAAAAGTTATTTTCCCAATTGATTTTTTTTTTGGGAAAATATCAATATAATTTCTAAATTTCTTTTGTAGAAATTGTACTGTAGAAACGACAACATTCACTTCAAAAAAAAAAAGAAACGACAGCATTGAGTCAAACGACATAATTGTAAAAAACGATTTCTTGAGTAAATCGACATAAACAAATAACAATTAACAACTATAAAAGACGACAAGTAGTTCAAAACAATAGAATTCTATTAGATCATCGACTTTTAGGAGACGTTTGGTTAATGAATTAGAATTATTTTTTATTTACGTGTATTTTTATAAGAAAAAATACTATAATAAACCATAAATCATAATTCAAATCATAATTTGAATCCTCCAATCAAACATTCTCTTAAATAACAAAACCATGAATGACCACATCATAGAAACGACATTATCTTCGAAACGATACTTTTTTTTAAAAGCAAAAGACAAAACAGAATTACAAATTTTAATCGTACATCTACTATTTTAGAATGAAATATAACCATTGAAAATGACAATTTGTATAAGAAATTAACCAATTCACACATGAGATCCAAGGTTTATGATTAAGAAATCGTATATTTCACCAATTTAAATTTTTAAAATGTCACATTTCAATTTAAATTAAAAATTTAAATTTAAATTCACAAAATAAAATTGAGTTTTTAAATTTGTTTAAAAAACTCAAAAAAAAAAAACAACTCAAATTTCAACTTTATTTAAATTCACGTTCTTTTAAATTTTAATTTTATTCAACTTTACTCAACTTTATTTAAGTTATAATTTTAACTCAAATTTAACTAAAAACTTACACTTAAATTATACTCTAAAATAACAATCCTAATGATGAGCGCAAGACTCGAACTCCATTCATAAAAAGTTTCATACCGTCTGATATATTTTGGGGTTCCCTCTCTTCAGAGAAAAAAATACCGATATGACGCCAAAAATTCCCTCCAAAAAAATCCCACGATAATGCTAACTAAATACAATCGCCCTGCAAACCACCATTTCCCACTATTTCTGCAAACCAAAATTGAAAATTTATCGAAAGCTCTATATAACTACAGAAACTTAGATTATTCTCAATAATACAAGACAAACAAGAATGAGAATTTGTCAAAGAAAAACAGCCAGATAGTGTTCAATTCAAGAATTAACAATTACAAACGAAAACAAAACACATCGCAGCTCCAAATGAACAAATACAAAGCAATGAACATAAAAAACAATCACCAACAAGTCTCTTTTTGATGAATTTATCAACATATTAAATATACAGTACAAATCGCTACAACGCAGGAGAAGAAAAATTAGAGGAACATTACATATGTCAACCGATAGTCTTTTCAACTTTTACCATAAGAACATAAGATCAAGCATACAAAGTAAAATACAGAAACCCTAACAAATATCCAAAAGACATTAAAGACAAAAGGCCATCATGTACGGATACAAACCTAACCCTAACCCTAAAGATCACAATCCAGAGCCAGATTATCTTCAAGAACTCGTAAACTTAGTCACCGCCTTGGTCCCCTCAGATACGGCGTGCTTGGCGAGCTCACCGGGAAGCACAAGCCTCACCGCCGTCTGGATCTCCCGAGAGGTGATCGTCGGCTTCTTGTTGTACCTGGCGAGTCTCGAGGCCTCCTGGGCGAGCTTTTCGAAGATGTCGTTGATGAAACTGTTCATGATCCCCATGGCCTTGCTGGAGATACCGATGTCTGGGTGGACCTGCTTGAGAACCTTGAAGATGTAGATCTTGTAGGTCTCGGTACCCTTCTTCACTCTCTTCTTCTTCTTTTCTCCGGCGGCGGCTCCGCCCTCCTTCGGGAGCTTCTTGCCGGCCTTGGGCTTCTTCTCGGCGGGAGCCTTCTCAGCGACGGCGGACTTCTTCTCCTCCGCTGGCTTCTTCTCGGCGGGCTTCTTCTCTGCCTTTGGCGCCATTGATTCTGAGGATTTCTAGGAAACGTAAACGATGGTTTGGAGGCTGGAAGAAAAGCGAAATTCGAAATTGGGGAGTGCTTTTGAGAGAGTTATGAAGGAATAGGGGATGAGATTAGGTTATATACAAAAGAGCGGCGTCTTATTATTGGCTATAGGATTTTGACGCGGATTGATGATTTTTCGCATTTATTGACCGTTGGATTTTCTTTTTGGCACTTGTAAATAGACGGTTGAGATGCGTTTATGCTTTTCGGTAAACGATTCGAAGGGTGCAGATCGTCGAGTTGGCACGTTTTTGACGCACTAGATGACTTTGCAAAACGATTTAAATAGGCGGTTAAGATATATGTTTCTCCCGCGTCTTTTTTCGTTTCTTTTTTTCCTTGGATATACAATGGATTGGAGACTTTGACCAAAATATCTTAACCGCATATTTAAATCATTTTTCCCTGTAACCCAGAATTTAAAAAAAAAAATTCCTTTAATAGGAAACTTACGTTAATATGCTGGTAACAATATCCTTTATGACAAAATGCTTGATCAAAAACATCTTTTTCCTAAAAAAAAAAAACATTTTTTTTACGATTTTAATTTTTTATTTGTTAATAAATTTAATTTTCATTGTATTACATTTACTTTTTATAACAAATGAGCTTTTGATTTATTTAACTTATCGGGTTGAAAAACTCTTCTAAATCAATGTATTTTTTATGCATTATTTAAACAGTAATTAAAAGGTAATGATTTATATTTTCTTCTTTTATTATTTAAAAATAAACGAGTTTTTCTGGTAAAACGTTCTATCGATAGTCTTATGGGTTGTTTAGTTGGGGGATTCGTACCCTGATTCGAATCATGATTCGTTGTTCGCTACAGTATTTTTTCTCACAAAAAACACACGTAAATCAAAAATGACTCTAATCACGTGGTTCTAATCACAAAAATTACTTGTGTTTTATGTGAGATACTACACTCGAGCTTTAAATTTTCCCCCGCTCCAATATTTTGTAACAAACAAATCAACATTTAGAAACATGAAACACCCCTTCATGGAGTGATCTCAGCTAATGTTTCTATCTTCTTCCCTCCATTTTATTCTTTTTGTGTATTACTACAATTCGACCTCGTAGACAGAACATGTATCCAATCCTACTTCAATAACTACTCGCAACTGCAATTGACAACTGAAAAAATAAAGTGTCATAGACATCTTTTTGACACAGGTACAAAAACAAACTGTCCCGCTTAACTCGGTATCAACCACAATAGTGTAGTATTGGCCAAAAACAGAATGATAGTATTATTTTTATGGCCATGAGTAGCAGTGGCTAAAAGATGAGATAGTGAAACTAGTCAAAGAAATACACACAGAGCAGAGTCGGTTAGTAATAATGTGAAAATACGTCCTTGCATTTATAACAGTTCTTACTGATTGGCGTAAATGACCAAAATGAATCAAATTCAACGGTATATAATTCTGCTCAAAGAAATTGCCAAATAAACAGGAGAACAAAGCTCCTGTCAACTAACTAAAGCTCATACCTGAAATCCATGTTATCACTTGTGAGCAAAATGGACGCGAATATTCCTGCCGTCTAGTAACTGATCATAACCAATTAAGTGATTATATACACATATACATATAGAATACTAAGGAGCTAAATTTGACCCTAAAGAGAATCATAACTGAAATGAGCTTACCTGACCATCCATTTGCTTCAGAGCTGTGTTGGCTGCAGTTTCGGAAGTAAACTGAACAAACCCATACCCTTTTGATCTCCCACTCTTGTGATCACAAATTACTTTAACTGTTAAGTGTTATATATAGGACGTCTTAGTATTCCCTTTAAAGAAACGAAAATAATATGTATTTTCAAGAGAAGAAGCATATACAAAGTATAAAGATTTGAGAACCTTAATAACCTCGCATATACCTTCAATTATATCACCATGCTGTTCAAAAGCATCCTTCAAAACAGTTTCATTGGTGTCATAAGATAGACCTACAACTCATAACACATTTGAGTGTGCTGTAATTGGGGAACAAAGGTAAAAGGCGTAACACACACACAAAAAAGAAAAAAGGACTTGATACAAATATAGTCAATCAAAAGAAAACTAAAAAAGTTCAAATTCTTATAAATAAGAATATGGGTTCCATGCTCTATTCAGGAGAACCCGTAGAAAAATACTTTGGCATTCCAGATAAAGTCGCAATATTGCATGATTGTTGAAGAGTTGGGAGTTTGGAAGAAGACCTCCGACAAACAATTTGGCGTAAAAGGGGCGTGCCCACAAGAACCTGGCCAAAGGAAAGGTCCGCCAAAGACAAACTCCGCTTGGTGAACCTCTCATTTTCTCAGGACTCCGCTAAATGAACATCAATGATTGAGGGTCGAACATCTTCGATTTCTCAAAGCTTACCCAGCTTGACAAATTTGTCGTTTTCCAAAACAATGTCGTTTTTTGTTTCGAGGTCTTTTCAGTCCCCCCCCCCTAACGGTCCAAAAGTTTCACATTTTTTTCCGTAATGTCCGTTTCCTCTTCTCTTGTCCTTTCTAGATAAGAGTTGCTTTTGTTTGTATTATCGTCGTTTTCTAAAAGTTTCATTCCCATTTTCTTTCTTGTTTTCTTTCCATTTCTTTCCCACTTGAATGTATGAGGTTTGGAACTCCAGTTAATTGTAGGTTGAAATTAAATTAAAACCCGTAACCATGGACAGATTCGATCTTCAGGAAGTTTTTTTATTTTGCCAGATAACGTGAGTTTTTTTTCCCCTTGAATACGAAAGTAAAGCTCTGATCTATAACCATTTTGATTTGATAATTAAAGCAAAATTGTCTTACAATTAACTAGCTTAAATATGAAGTTTAACAAGTAGTTTTACATTGACAATACTCCATCTTTTCCCTCTTTGTAAATAAGACAATATTCTAATTTAAACCTACACAATTATACAACATCTACTATTTCCAGTACTAAATAAAAATTGAAGTACCTAAATCCGACAGCACTTCATTCTAGATTTAGCATAAAAAAATTGCAGCTTTTAAAAATTATGATTAAAGAAAAACTAAAATATAACATCAGTTGTTGCTCAAATGCATCTAAGCATCACCAATTCAAGATGCTCCTAAAAACATATCAATCCAAATATTTAACTTACAAACTAAGCAAAGCAATTTTCGAGAGCAGCAATGAAATCATGTTCATTTCAAACCTTAATACTTTCATAACAGTCCATGTTAGGTTAATCAAACAAATCATCATTACAATAATTTTGCCCACCAAAAAAGAAGGAAAAGAATAATTCTGCCTACACTGCGTCGGAAATACAAACAAAAAGCCGCGCTCATATAAAGTGAACAAAGTAAGCTTTAAAATGAATGACAAGAAAGCCAAGATATAAACAAGACGTTCCCTTCGTTAATTTCATGACAAATAACTCACTACATAAGGACAACAAAGGCATCTAGAGATTACAAATCTTTCAATATCATTCCAACATTTCTTTCTCCATTTCATGGCTACACAAACATCAAAAGCTAAAAAGCCCTAAAAAGTCTCCAAGTACATACAAATGAAGATGACGAAGCAAAGCGGAAACAAGCGAAACTAAGCCTTCTTTGGCGACTTGGTGGCCTTTGAGGGAGACTTGGGCTCCTTGGTGGCTTTCTCGGTCTTCTTCGGCAACAGAACCGGGTTGATGTTAGGAAGAACACCGCCGTGAGCGATGGTCACACCGGCGAGCAATTTTCCGAGCTCTTCGTCGTTTCTCACAGCTAGCAAAACGTGCCGTGGAATTATCCTGTTCTTCTTGTTGTCACGAGCCGCATTTCCAGCCAATTCCAGAACCTAAACAACAAAACCGAACAGCAACAATGTCAACACTCTCAATTAGCATAATTCCGAAATCCGAACCCTAATTTCATTTCTAGCTAGTTCTTCACAGAATCTTCCAGATTGAGGTCAAATTAGTAAAAATCCCCAAACAGAATCAAACCTAGAATCTCAACTGAGAACGATGAACAGATGCAATAAATTTTGTACCCAATAAACTTGCGAAATCAGAGAAATAGACAATACCTCAGCAGCGAGGTACTCAAGAACGGCGGCCAAGTAAACCGGGGCACCGGTTCCGATACGCTGAGAATATCTACCCTTCTTCAAGTATCGGCCGATTCTTCCAACGGGGAATTGCAGACCGGCTTTCACGGACCTCGAGACAGGCTTCTTCTTGGGGCCTCCTCCCTTTCTACCTGCGGCGCCTTTCTTCACTTTTCCACCGGTGTCCATGGCTGAATCGGAGAGAGAAATTTGACGAATCGAAGTTCTTTGTTACCCTTTGACCTCCGTTAGAGAGAGAGAGAGAGATCGGTGTGAGGGTGTTTGTGACGCAAAGAGAGATGATGATGGATACTTTGGGTTGCGTCGAAGCACCGTTTTATAGAAGTGGATTTGTGAGATGTAAATAAGCCTTGTTTCTAGGGGATGTGGAATGGGTGTGAGGAAATCAGATACTTTTTGTGCCGCTGGATTAACGATCTTATCGACGGTTGTGGAGCGCTGTCTCGCGATCCATGTGATAGCTTATTGACCAATAGAAGAGTGAGATCAATTTGCGAGCGCGTTGTTTTCAGTTTCCCTCTGCAACTTTCGGCTTTAGAAAAGCTTTCTATTTGTGCTCCAATTTCAAAATTCAAAATTCAAAAAATATGAGTTTTTCCTTTTTTCCTTTTTTTCTTTTTCTAAAAATGAGTTATTTTGTTTACAATATATTAATAATTTTATATTAAAAGCCCGTTTACTTCGCTAATTTGAGTTTATAATTCGAGTTAATATGTGATTTTATGTGAGAGCTTTTTACTGTAGCCAAAAAAAAAAAAATTAGATGTGACTGTTTCTGAGAACTTTTTACTGTAGCAAAACTCAAATTCTAAACTCGAATCGGTGAAGTGAACGGAGTCTTATTAGGCCTTGTCAATTTTATGACTCAAATCATATTATTATCCTATTTTTTTTAATATAAATTTAAATTTAACTCTTTTATTACAGTGCTTTTCTCTCACATACATAATTCAAGTCATTACTTAAATTGTGTAAATGAACACACCTTAACAAAAATTCTAATACATAGTTTTGAACTGTAAATTTATATTGGTTTTTCCCTTTTTATTTTTAGTATTTTTAACAATTTTATTTAAATTTAAAAAGGAAAGTTTGATGCTAGAAATTTCTCACTCAAAACAATTTTATCAAATCACCTTTCATTAACATGTTTTAAACATTTCATAACAATCATTTCTTTAGTTTTACATAAAGGTCTAGGCAAATGAGTACTTTAAACATTTTTATAAAGTTGAAGATGCGTAGTGATCATTTTATAAAAAATCGGTTGACAAGTTAACATAAGTATCAAAATGAGGATATTTATGAAATTACAATTACTATCAGAACAGTCTTTTGTTAGTATCATAAACGAATGTCGATAAAAGGGATTTTTTCACAATTTTATGTAATTAAAAGGTGTGATGAAAGAACGAAGAACAAGTTGACATACAGTGTGTATATTTGAGAAATTTATGAAATATATCTTCATTGGTTAAACTATACACTTTAACCTCCCTCAAATATATATATATATATACCCTTTAACCTATATCATCTATATATAAATACTTTATACGCTCGATTGAAATATTAATTACATTAACAGAGCCTCATGAGATATGTTCAATAGTAATCTGCAACTTATTACACAAATTAATAATATATGGACAATTACATAAAATTTTATTGTAAAATAATGTCATAAGATATATTTAATATGCTTTTAAGACACCAATCATGACTAAGGTATGTATGAAAAATCAAATTTCCACTATTAAAAGTGCAAGTACTCGTTCATAATTCACCTAAGTTCTCAAATTAATACTCGTGGGAATATTATTTTTTATTTAGAAGCTGTAAATTTCATATTCATTAGTTATTGTTCCCAACTATCTACAATATTATATATATCTAACTTATCGAGTTGTTGATTGATAAATTTTATCTCCCTTATTGATAAATCAAAATACATAATATATAAATGTGAGAGCACTAATCACTAGGGATTAAGATAATTTACGTAAAGTGACCAACAATGATAGAATATTCTCATTACGGAAATACACAATAATCTTATAATTCTGTCGTGGTTGTGAATATATATGTCCTAAACATAATGGTGGCCTAATTAGTAATCATCAACACCACTACAATCCATGTAAGATTGTTCCTCCAAGTGAAAAATAGATAACACCGCGATAAGATGAGTGCTCAGCTTTATTTACTGAACTTGAAAAATTTTAGGTTCGGTAATATGGGTCACGATTCGAAAACGACACGAATTTTACGGGTTATGGTTGAGAAAAAAGATGTTTGAGTCAGAATTAAGTATACCTAAAATTAACATAAAAACGCGGGTTAATTTAGAATTTGACCCCCTAAATCCGAACACGATATGAAACTCGTAAAAAACTAAAAAATATTTTTTTTTATTATATATTTTAGATTTTATTATGAATTTGTGATATCATGATAGTTATACTCAAAATTTTATACTATTATTTGCTTAATTTTGATGGATGTTATTGTATTTTAGTGTGTTATGAAATTTAAGTTATCTCTAATATGTAAAAAACTAAAAAATATATATATAATTTCCATGTCAATTTCAGGTTCACGGGTCATTTCGTGTCATGTAGTGCCGCGTCAACCCGTAAAGTGGTCGTGTCGTGTTTGTGTTACGATTTTTTAAAAATTTTGTGTCACATATCGTGTTCGGGTTGACTGTAAATTTAGAAAGAAACGATCAAAACACGACACGTGATACAAATTGTCACCCCAAAAAAATATATTTTTTTACAATCCCAACTCAAGTAAAACTATGCAAGCAATAAAATTCATTAAAAAATTGTCATAGTAGCAACATTTGGAATACTAGTTAAGACCGTATCCAATACAAATACTAATTCCAATGTTATTTTTCCAGTAAAAACTGTGAAAACAACATACTTTATACTATTATATTTTTTCTGCTCACGATGCATAATGTATTTTTAACGAAATTGTATTTCAAATTAAAGAAATTCACACACTAATGTAGGCTCGAATGACCTCATTTTGTAAGAAAACTCAACCCCGACCACAAATTGGCTCCACCCGTATGGTATAGTGAAATGTGTAAAGAGGCAAGACATGCATTGAATTCCAACAATGGGAAACCGAAAGGACACCTAAATAATTGAGCACGTAACTGACTTTTTAATCAATATCTATACTATCAATGGAGAATTTCAATCTATCTATACCATGCGACCCGTAGCACAAATGTGACGACAACACTATAGAGAAACCCTTATTGTGGATTGTACATAATACAAAACAAAGAGTGTGGAAATCACCATAATTCTTATAGAAAAACAAAAACTCAAAAACTAATATAGAGAAAATAACATTGCATTTATTTTACAATTACAACTATAAAACAAAGAGGCATCCCCAACAACACGGTCAAGACTATTGGTGATAAGCCGACCATAGAGACCAAAGATGTTAAGTAACACAATGTTCTAAGGAGTCGGAAACACTATAGAAAAAGCTACTCAACGAATGCAAGTGGCAGTCATGCGCTACCACAACCGGTCGTCAAACCAGGCACACACTTCACCGAGCATTTAGCCATAACACGAATACTAAAACCTTCATAATGCAAATCCACTGGAGCCCCCATGTACCCTACACCAACGAAAACCACACCAATGATGCTAAATACAAACCACAACCCATGTAGGCTTAACGATCTGTCGTAGATGGATTAGGGTGTGTCAGGGACCATAGATCTTTGTCATTTCAACAAAGATGAATTTCTTTATGCCATTAATTGAATAAAGAACTGAGTAATCGAATATGATTATCATTGGATAAGAGACATCGTGTTGACGTCATTAGACTTTCATCTAATTCTTCACCATTCATCTCCAAACTTCAGTTTATGTCATTTTTGCATAGATTTTCCATGACACTACGCCACACTTAATCTCATTTCACTATGCATGCCTTCTATTTCGTATACAATCCATAATCTTTACCACAACACTAGGAAAATGTGGGCATCCTATACGGTATAATTATCCCCGCTTCTAGGCTTTTTTTGGTTGGAAAGGTGGAGAGTAAAAAATATAAAGAGAGTTGAAAAGATAGAAAGTAGGAATGACGATGAGTATTATAGTAATCATTCGTACCGTTTAGTAAGATAGAGAAATAGCTGAAAGGATTAAAAATAAATATTTATTAAATTAATATATTGTCCATTTAAACTATTTATTAATAATTAATTTAGTTGGTAAAATAATCTTTTAAATCTTAAAGTTAATAGATTGTTTGGACCATTTTATTAATGAAAATATATAATTTGACGGGTTATAAAAGAAACTACATCAATCCACCTCTCTTCTCTTTGTCTTATTCTCCCTTCAACCAAACAATAAATTAGACATATCTTTCTATCTCTCTCCCTCCTACCAAACATACTCCTAAATCCTAACATATGATCAGACACGTACACATATATTTGTTTCTAGGTAAGTAAGCTCAACATTTTTCTCTCTTTAGCCAAAAAGGAAAAGATTGGCCTCGTTTAGTATATTGCTTTAGGGTGATAGAACCTATTACATAGGTTCAAAACAATATTTTAATGTTAAAACCATATATTGGTTTGAACCTAAAGATTTGACATTTAAAAATAAAATTTCAAATCTATCCCCTCTAAAAGGTTATTTGGTGCATATATAAAATTTAAATCACGATTCTACTACAATATTTTTCTTTTATAAATAATTTAAATTAAAAAATTTCTTGTCAGCAGTTGTCTCACAAAAAATTTGAATCAAAACTCAAATCATGATTCAAATATACTTCACAAACAAACCTTATTTTTTGTTGGTTTAAACTAAGTGCACATCTAAACACCAGTTAAACCACAATTAAACTATACACTTTTCAAACCAACATATTTTAAAGGGTATTTTACACATTTGCCCCCTAAAATTATATGGTTTTAGCAACTTACTCCTTAAACTTTTAATTTTGACAAGTTGCCTCTCTAACTTGTAAAATTATAGCAATATACCCTATTGCGACGATGATTGTATTAAATTAGGGACGAAAAAGCACGTTCTATGAAAAATTTTAACATCCCAATTCAAATGTAACACAAATCTTTTAATTCATCAACTTTTAATCCATTAAATCTAATGAAATATTGGAGAAAATTTAATAAAACGGGGCACATTGCAACAATTCTACAAGATTGGAGGGTTGATAGTGAAAATCAAGAGTTTATGGGGCAATTTGTTAAATAACGACAAGTTCGAGGAATAATTGTGCCAAAAACTCAATATTTAACCAATAA